TTGCTGGGGATATGGATTCCAAATCTCCTGGGGGTTTCCTTTGAAAGGGTATCAAGATATCCAACTGCACCTTTGACCTATCAGTAATCCTCTTTCTTGATTCGTAAGGAAATGGTTATGTTCAAATGCATATGCCTTTTTAACAAAACATTGGACATTTCTCAAAATAAAACAAATAGTGCAAGAGAAAAGAAAAGGAAATGACACAAATTTCTGGGAAAAGTATTTGTATTAACTTTCTCTGAGTATATTTGTACAAAGGAAACAATCATCCTAGTAAGAGGATTTTGTCGTAAATATTTGAAAGATTTATACAAAATAAAGATGGCTATGTGAAATAATTCCATGGGATTCCATTCCGCTATAACCTTCACAACTCTGAATATCTGTCCATTCAATGCTTCGTTTGCCGATGACTGGATTGATCAGAAGCCTGGAACTGGTTGATGAAGAGATTGTCTTTGAAGTGATCCGACGAGACATAGTCATACGCTTTAATTCCCTAACTTTTGCATGAATCGCCCTTTCGGGTTTTCGATCCACCGGGAAACCCCTTTTTGCCCAAGCCGCCCTTTCGGGTTTTCAACTTGCCGGGTGTACATATTTTTTTATTTTTATCCCTAACTTTTGCCTGAACTGCCCTTTCGGGTTTTCGGTTCACCGGGATGCCCATTTTTGCCCAAGCCGCCCTTTCGGGTTTTCGGCTTGTCGGGTTATTTTATGTGTAGTATCTTTTGACTATGTCTGCGTTCGCAGGGTGCGGCAAATCGTCGCCGTCCATGGTGGTCAGAATCATCGCACCACCAGAAAATATGCTCTTGATCACAAATGGTCCTTCATATGTAGGAGTCCATTTGCCCCTGGGATCACTTTGCGGTAAGATGATCCGCTTGATTACGAGATCTCCGACTTGATACACTTGACGTCTGACTTTCTTATTGAAGGCCTTGATCATCCGTTTTTGATACGTCTGACCATGGCATATAGCAGCGAGTCGCTTCTCGTCGATCAGATTGAGTTGATCAAGTCGGGTCTGAATCCAATCATCTTCATTCAAACCTGTGTCCTTCATAATCCTTAGAGAAGGAATCTGAACCTCCATAGGCAGGACAGCTTCCATGCCATATACCAAAGAAAATGGGGTTTCCCCGGTCGAAGTATGTGCTGTCGTACGGTATCCATGTAGAGCAAACGGTAACATCTCATGCCAGTCTTTGTAAGTGACTGTCATTTTCTGAATGATCTTCTTAATGTTTTTGTTCGCAGCTTCAACAGCATCGTTCATCTTCGGCCGATAGGGAGATGAATTGTGATGATAAATCTTGAACTGTTCGCACAAAGCGGTGATCATTGTGTTATTCAGATTTGTACCGTTGTCTGTGATGATCCTGTCTGGAACACCATACCGACATATGATGAAGCGGGCAACCACATTTTTAGTAACAGAGGCGAAGGAAGCTGCTTCGACCCATTTGGTGAAATAGTCAATGGCAACCAGGATGAAGCGATGTCCATTGGAAGCCGTAGGCTTGATCTCTCCAATCATGTCAATGCCCCACATTGCAAATGGCCAAGGAGCAGTCAGAACGTTGAGAGGAACCGGAGGGATATGAACTTTGTCTGCGTAGACTTGACATTTGTGGCAAGTACGGGAATGTTGATGGCAGTCAGCTTCCATGGTAGACCAGTAATAGCCTGCCCTTAGGATCTTCTTAGCCATTGTATGCCCGCTCAAGTGAGTGCCAAATGTGCCGCTGTGTATATCAGTCATGATCAACTCTGCTTCAGCTTTGTCTACGCATCGGAGTAATACATAATCATGTCTTCGTTTGTAAAGGATGTCGTTGCTCAGAAAGAACTTGGCAGCAAATTTCCTTAAGAACTTCTTGTCATTTACGGAAGCTCCTTCGGGATAATCTCTAGTCTCGAGATACCTTTTGATTTCATGGAACCAAGGTTGTTCCACTACTTCTTCGGTATCAATCTCATGACAATGCGCAGGTTCATCCATTCGCTCGATGGTGATTTGGGGAGCCTCGTTATCCCAGTTGAGTTTAAACATGGAGGACATTGTGGCTAGAGCATCTGCTAGCTGATTCTCTTCTCGCGGGAAATGCTCGAAGGTAATTTGCTCGAAATGAGGCAACAATGTCAGGACATGTTCTTTGTATGGGATAAGATTAGGATGCTTGGTATCCCACTCTCCTTTGATTTGACTGATAACCAAAGCCGAGTCCCCAAATACGATCAAAGATTTGATCCCCACACTACAAGAAAAATGATAGATTGGGACGGTTATTTTGGCTGATTACAACGGTTAAAACCGTCGCAATTTACAATCTACGACGGTAGAAGTACCGTCGCAGAATCGTGCGTCCCCAGCCTATTTCGCGACGGTTGCAAAAACTGTCACGCACAACAGATAGCGACGGTTATATACCGTCGTGAATTTGACTTTATTTTTTGTTTTTGTTGTTGTTTGCGACGGTTATATACCGTCGTGAATTTGACTTTATTTTTTGTTTTTGTTGTTGTTTGCGACGGTTATATACCGTCGTGAATTTGACTTTATTTTTTGTTGTTGTTGTTTGTGACGGTTATATACCGTCGTGAATTTGACTTTAACCGTCGTAATCTGATTTATAAATTTCAAATAATATTTTTATTTAAATTATTATTTAGTAAAATAATTTTAAATATAATATTATTTTACTATAATATTTTACTATTATATTTAAATTATTATTTACTTTAATATTTTTTTATTTATAGTATTTTTATTTTATTTTCTATCACTTTTCAACATTGTTTTGAAATGAGCAATCCAATTGTTTTGAAATATTTACTAACTCAGTATTATTAATTCAGTTGGGAAACCATTTGTAAAATAATGCAAGGAGACATTGCTTTTGCTATTGAAGCGTGAGATTTCCGTGAGATACCAGTACTTATTATTGGGAGAAAAGATTTATGAATTATTGCACATTGTAATATGCTTATACCACCTTATAACTTTGCTACAAGTTACCTATAACAAGTGAGATTTTCCGATTTTCAGGAACTATAACAAAAAGAGGTTAGCTCCGAAATCTCTTGATCATTTTGCAATCTTTGCAGCCATTTCTCTGACCAACTTAGCAGCTACCATAGCAGTCATTCCATCAACAGTATCGCGTTGTGGGTTGAGTTCAACGACGTCTCCAGCAACAACATCACCTTGAAGATTGTGTAGGATGTTAAGAACATCGCGGAAAGAAAGACCTCCCGGTTCAATATGAGACACTCCCGGAGCAAATGCAGGATCAAGACAATCCACGTCTATCGAGATATACACCCCTTTCACACCTTCCCCTAGTTTCTGCCCAATTTGATCTGATGAAAGTGATAATATAAAATGTTAGAAAATAGGAAAGGAGAATGTAGAAAGAATTAAAGAATTGATCCATCTCTCAAAAAAGACATCTCTTGTAAAATGTGAGACATACCAAATTGTTGTTTAACAGCAGGACTATTAAGGTCGAAATTCTTTAAGGTGTCCATCATTCGACTGTCCCATTCAGTGCCTCCACCCATGTTGTTTCTGAAACCAAATATATAGGAGAAAAAGAAAGGATGTGTGAATCCCTAGTGGCCAGAGAGTACAGTTTACCAATATATTACTAGAAAATACATTGATTTATATAACTGCAGCACATAGAATGACACTTTAGTGAGAAATAACAAATAAGATTTACATTTCTGTGCAACTTTAGGTCTAAAATCAACGTAGTGACCATGAATCCAGTCATAAGTAAACTCAAACAAAAGGTTATTGTACAAAAGCAGAAGAATGGTCATTTAATTTCCTCCAGGACTGGCATTTATCCTAATTCCAAATGTTAGGTTCTGTTAGGTAAAGAATAGGGAGTCCGATTCAGTGTTAACAAATAGCAGCGCCATGGGCGCTATGATGGATATACATGGCGGTGGACAAAAAAAGGCTTGGAAGATACTAGTACAATATAAAGAACTTACAGCATTTCTTCAAGTCGTTGACGGTACTCAGGATTCTGCAGCATCCCTGCCAAAAGCAGCAACAGTACATCAATTATCCATCGGCCAAATTTATTAACATTTCTAAGATTAGACAGAACAACACGCTTAAGCAATTTATGTAACCTTTTTTTATATATCCAAAAAATAGGATTTACTTGAAGTTTAAAACTTATCTGTGCTCACTAAAAATGAAAAATAATCATTATTAAAAGATAAAAGGAGCTAATATTACGGATAAACCATCTTCTGCACTGTTGGGTCCTCCATCATTTTCTCTAAAGCATCCACCGATAAGACTGATTTTTCTATCCAAAAAAAAACAAGGTCATTAAGAACATTTGGTTAATTCATACAGGCACAGAAGCTCATTTATGACAACTTTAAAAGAACAAATATTACAAACACAATGTGTTATATGATTAAAAAAAAGGTATAACTTAAAAGGTATAGCTAAGAACACAGTCATTCCAGGTGAATTTAAAAGTAAATATATGAACTCTTCAAGTTAAAATTAAAACCACAACCATTTCATTCAAATTCAATTAGGGAATTTTATTCCCCTGCATCACATGGGAACTAGTAAGAAAGACATACTGACCTATTCTAGTCCAAATATATCAACATTTTCACGGCTCCTATGTTTGAGATGCAGTACATAATCAATCAGGTCTCTGCATACTATGTTTAGTTTATAATAATAATTGTACAACATTTGAGAACTCGTGATTCCCACTAGTGCATCGTGGTTTTACTATTTCTCTGTATTTTGATAAGGCCAGCAGCAATGGTTTGAGTCCAAGCAACTAGAACTTATTATTACTTCTATTCTTATCCAGTTTATAAATAAATTGACTTTTGGGGTAAATACTACACCTTAAAGCTAACTATTCCCATCACATTCGAACTAAAACTGGCTTTGGCCTTTACCAGTTTCCAAATGCCACATGATATCCACCTGAAATATCTCAGTTGTCAACAAGGGTTTGAAACTTGACTCTCTTTTTAACGCTCCGCATTCGATCATATCCAATACCAATCTTGCTATGCATCAACTTGATAGCCAAATCAGCATTCCCAGCTTTTCTTAAGGAATGAATCATCACCGTTCTAATCTTCCCAGGTATTTCTCTACCCCTATCCACAATTCCATCAGCCAACTTACAAGCCTCCTTCACACGACCAGCTTTACACAGCGCTCCAATCATATCTTCATAAGCTATTTCAAGAACAACCCCCATAGGTGCAAGCTCGTCCAGCACTTTACAAGCCCTCGCAACTTTTCCTGAAAGACACATTCCAATTGAAAGAGCCCTAAAACAAGCAACGTTCGGCGTTATCCCTTTGTCAATCATCAAATCCCACATCTTGACGGCTTCTTCATTCCTATGCACCCTGAAAAGCTCACTGATAAGTATAGTAAACGTATACACAGTATGCTCACAACCATCACACTCCATCCTCTTAAACAGCACTAAAGCATCGGCTATCCTCCCACACTTACAAAGTCCATCGATGAGCGCATTGTAGCAATATGAATCCGGCAGACACCCCTTCTCAGCCATTTCATCAAACACCTTCTCAGCTTCATCCACCCTTCCCGCCTTTCCAAGTCCATCAATCAAACTAGAATAAAAAACAGCATTGACAACAACAGCATTCTCATTACAAAACCGAAAATAACCCAAAGCTTCCTCTAGTCTCCCACTCTTACATAACCCATTAACAATAGCACCATAAGTAACCTCATCAGGCTCAATCCCATCCATTTTCATCCTCTCAAACAACCTTAAAGCCCCATCAGAATTCCCACTCTTCCCATAACAATCAATCAAAGTGAATACATACACTATATTCATACTATTCATACATAACACAACCAAGTGAATTTGAGACTCACTTTATTGAATCAAAATATAAAATATGGCAAACTAGATTTGTCAATTCTACCGACAAAAAAAAAACATTAATTAATAAAAACCACACGATAAAAACAGATCTCGGACACCGATTTCAAACAAAAAACCTGAAAATTAAAATTGAGGGTTTTAAAAAGTCAAGCAAAATTGGGACCCCAATTAAGAAGAGAGAATGAACGAACCATGTGAGAATTGTAAGCGTGTCAGGTTATAGGAGATAGTGACTTCTGCAACGGAATTTGTGACGTTACTTGTTCTGTACAAGCAAAACTTCAATATTTTTAATATGTGAATAAGTGATAGCTTATGTGATTTTCTTGTTCTATTTTTATAACTACAATGATCTTAACTCAACTTTATTTTTGTTACATATGTTACACTGTTATTACTTTTCATTATCTTGTTCTTCCCTTGTTTAGAACTTGATAGCATGACTCTTTATTCCATCTTGTTATGTGACTAGACGCTGAGCCATATAATTATTATTCTCTTTATTTAGATATTCATTAATTTAAGTTTTAAGATGTTAACCATTTAACCAACTTTCATGATAATTAACCTACATATATTTAAAATTAAAGTAATTTTTATATTAATTGATGTTGTCTTGACATTGAAGACCGAATACATGGAGTGGGGTATGAGTACATGATCCATCTAATGAATCTATGATTCCATATGATTACTTTTACATGATGCCTAAACCATATCTTATAAATTCCTATGTTCTTCACTAATAAAACCAGTAGAATATTCGTGCGGCACCAATACAATTATAACAAAGTTTGTAAGTTACTAATTTATCAAAGCAAAAGTTTGTGGATATTATGATGGTAGATACCTGAAAAAGAATTTGGATGATTCAACTTGGTTTTGCAAGTGGACATAATGCTTTTCCGGTATAGTGGGCTAGAAGGCTGTGGAAGTAGATATCACTAATGAGAGTGACTTGCAAGATGTGTGAAGATTCTGCATTTGGTGGTCTTGTTCTTGGATACTATGTCCAAACATGGATTCCATATCATTTCTTAAAAGTATTTTCCTTTTAGACTTCGCATAATTTTTCAACAATTACAACTAAAATCAAAATCATTTTTCCTTCAAAAACTGAAAATACAACCAATAAATAACAAAAAATATAAAAAAAACTGATAGATTTATACTATGAACAGTTTAAACGATAATAATAATGATAATCACCTGAACTTCAGAAAGCTTTCCTTCATTGAGAACTTTGAAAAGGGAAAAACCCGCCGGCGTTTCAAATAGTACCAGCATTTTACCAGATTTTCAACAAACCTGAAAAACAAATCATCAAATCTTGCATTAATCTTGCAGTTGTGTTTCATGTGCAGTTTTTTATTATTTCACTTCCACTTCTTTGAACCAAGAACACTTGAATTTGAGTCACAGATCCACATTACAATCAAATGATTATATCTTGTTTTTATTTCAAAATGGAGTTTTGCTTTAAATTTAAATTTCAAGTCAAATTCAAATTTAATTTGAATCCAACTTGGTATGGGATAAGATTATGGACATTTTCCTTCAATTGTCCTATCATCAAAATATGATTTCTTTACATCCATTTCCATCGATATTCTTCATCACACTTTAAATCAGTTATTATCACATTTAGTCATTATTTTATTCATCATTTTTATCACTAATCATTCACATTTCACTATCCATTTATTTGTATCATGTTTCGTTATCATCTATCATCTTTACCATTAAGGGTTTACTCAAAATAATCCATGAGATTCAAACAAATATGGGGAGGTGAAAAGTTCATTTGACATTCAAGCATAGCAAGTTTCAATTTGAGAGAAAAGTAATTTGGCATCAAGTTGACCAAAACTCAAAAGAAACAAAAGAATATAAAGGTATCAAGGGGCTTTGTATTGACTCTAAAGCTTCATTGAATCCATATGACCTAATGGTCTCACGAGGGAAAATACAAGATTAAGTGTGTTAAAAAGAGCTTTGTTTCTAAGCTACAAGAGTTCTCGTTACAGCTATGAAGATAACTAAGTGCTTAAGCCCGTTGAGGTGCAAATTAGAAGAATTTCGGTTCCTTGTGCTAAGTTTGATCCAATATGGACTTTTGTTGATTCCTTTGATCTTTTTCCATGGCCTTCCTTGCTTTCAGCCCATGAGAAAGTGTTTTGTGGAGTACAATCCACATGTTCACAACCAGCCCATAATCCAGGACGAATTAGTGAGATATCAAAGAATTTCAAGGTGGTAAAAAATTGTGTTACAATTCATGATTTGGTGGATTGCTTGAGATATATAGAACTTAGGACTTAAGTCACTTCTTTATGTCCTTCACCATCTCATATTCATCTCTACCTTATTCATCACGTTCACCACTTAATCATTGCATTAAAGTGGCCATGTACTTCAAGGTCACTTTAAAGCTAGGTGACTTGTTTACTTCAAGTCCTTGACTCATGTTTCGAATCAACTTTAAGAGTTCGTGTTCATGTATTGGTTTTAAGCATCAAGCATAAGGGACTCAAGTTTGATTGTGGTTCATTCAATATGACATAATTCATCATTGAAATCATTCAAGTTCCAAGTTAATTCCATCAAAATAAAGTTCATTCATGTTCATTACAAGTTGTTCACAAGCATTACAAAACCATTATCATCACAAGTCCTTTACATCATACAAAACTTTCACTCTCTCACTTGGCTCACGATTCATTCAATCAGAAAATCACACAAAAAACTCAGAAGGAGATTCACAGAAAGAAAGAAAAACTCACCTTCTGGTTATCTCAAAACAACATCATCACCTTCCGTTTTTCAATCGTCCTCAATGCATCTTCACTGAATCAATAACTTCATTCGTTCATCATCTTCATCAATGCAACTGATTCTGCAACTTCAACCGAAACACATCACCACGGTAAAATCGAAAGAAAATTGAAAAGAAGTAGAAGAAGATTGAATCAATAATTTATATACCTTGATATTCGGATGATACAAAGATCGCGCAGAAGATGAAGAAGATTGAGTCGAATCGAAGAATGGAAGCTTCACCATTCTAGGCGCAACATCGTACTTCCGGCGGTGGTTCTTTGCTTCAATCGGATAAAAAGCTCTTTCACAAAACCTAATCCTCTTTCAATTTTGTTTGTTACTCCTATTTTGTTTTTTTATATTTTTATTTGTTGTATTTTGTTTATAATTTAATAATAAATATTAGTTGCTGAAAATATTATGATATTGTGTTGATATTATGATATTATGTTGCTGAAAAAAAGTGGGAAAGTAAAAGAATAAAAAAAAGTAGCCTAACCGTCGTGACAACTGTCGCAATTCAGGAATAATGCTTGAAAATCTACGACGGTTGAGCCTAACCGTCGTGACAACTGTCGCAATTCAGGAATAAGGACGGTTTTGTGGGAACTGTCGCAATTCAGGAATAAGGACGGTTTTGTGGGAACTGTCGCAATTTATGTGTCGTAAATCTCTTTTTTTCTTGTAGTGCCAAGTCTATAGCAGCCTTGAGACCAAAGATGCAAGCTTCGTATTCAGCCATGTTGTTTGTGCAGCTGAAGCAAAGTCGGGCCGTGAAAGGTGTGTGACAGCCTTCCGGAGAAATGAGTACTGCACCGATACTGTTTCCAAGTGCATTTGAAGCACCATCAAAGTACAGGGTCCATCGGGATCCCTTTTCGGGTCCGTCATACGGTCCGCTACCTTCAATGTTGTCCAAATTCATGATGTCCTCGTCTGGGAAGTCAAATCTCATGGGTTGATAATATTCGATAGCTTGATGAGCCAGATGGTCAGCTAGTACACTCCCTTTTATAGCTTTTTGGGTGGTGTACTGGATGTCATATTCAGTTAGGATCATTTGCCATCTAGCTATCCTTCCAGATAAAGCGGGCTTTTCGAAGATACACTTGATAGGATCCATTTTGGAAATCAACAAGGTAGTATGAGTCAACATATACTATCTTAGTCGGCGAGCAGCCCATACCAAAGCGCAACAAGTTTTCTCGAGCAGTGAGTAGCGAGTCTCACAGTCAGTAAACTTTTTGCTAAGGTAATAAATAGCATGCTCTTTTCGACCAGACTCGTCATGCTGGCCCAAAACACACCCCATTGAGTTATCCAAGACGGTCAAATACATGATCAGTGGTCTTTCTTCGATGGGTGGCATCAGAATAGGAGGTTCTAGCAAATACTCCTTGATTTTATCAAAAGCAGCTTGGCAATCTTCATTCCATTCGAGTACCTGATCTTTCTTCAAGAGTTTGAAAATTTGCTCACAGGTAGAAGTCAGATGGGAGATGAATCTGGCAATATAGTTCAAGCGCCCCAAGAACCCTCTAACCTCCTTTTCAGTACGGGGAGCAGGCATTTCTTGTATTGCTTTCACTTTTGCTGGATCGACTTCAATGCCTTTGTTGCTTACAATGAATCCCAGGAGTTTACCAGACCTAACTCCAAAAGTGCATTTACTTGGATTCAGCCTGAGCTTGTATTCTTTCAACCTGGAAAACAGCTTTTCTAGATGTTCAAGGTGCTCCTCCTCTGTTTGTGACCGAGCTATCATATCGTCTACGTAAACTTCAATCTCATGATGTATCATATCATGAAATAAAGCTATCATGGTGCGTTGATAGGTTGCCCCTGCGTTCTTCAGCCCGAACAGCATCACCTTGTAACAGAAAGTGCCCCATTGTGTGACAAAAGTAGTTTTCTCCATGTCCTCGGGGGCCATTTTGATTTGATTGTAGCCCGAGAATCCATCCATGAAGGAAAACACTTTGTGCTGAGCTGTATTGTCGATCAAAATGTCAATGTGTGGGAGTGGAAAATTATCTTTGGGGCTGGCCCTATTCAAATCCCGGTAGTCCACACACATCCTGACTTTGCCATCCTTCTTAGGTACTGGCACGATGTTAGCGACCCATTGAGGATAGGAC